ATGTACCCCAGGGTGACTTTTGAGTCTGTCCAATAGAACTCCTCTACATTGTCATAGAGTAGCTCCTCCCTTAGCATGTTGCTTACTGTGACTGATACTGCAGCTGCGGTCAACTCTAGCCTTGGAATCGTGGTTACTTTTGTTGGAGAGACACGTGCTTTGCCTATAATAAAGTTACAGTGAACATCTTTGTTTTTGTTAATCAGTCTTAAGTAAGTGCATTGTCCATATCCTGTTGTGCTTGCGTCGGAAAAGTGATGCAATTCTCTTTTCACCGCATTTACAAATGTTTCTGGGACATAACATCTGTTTATTTGCAACTTTTTCAGATTACTCAAATCTCCTTTCCAGCTCTCCCACCGTGGATTGAGATGTTCAGGTATCGGATCGTCCCAGCCTGTTCCTTGGCGACACATTTCTTGAAGGATTCTTTTGCCATTGAGCACATATGGGGCAATGAATCCAAGCGGGTCGTATATTGCTGCGACTGTAGACAGGATACCGCGACGGGTTGGGGGTTGGTCCTTTAATGTGATATTGAATGTGAAGCAATCTTTCTCTATGTTCCAGTAAATACCAAGTGCTCTTTCCGTTTGTGTTTCGCTGAATGTCAAGTCCTTTGTTTTTGCGTCTGTTGCATGTTCTGACACTGGAATGCTGTTTAGAACAACACTGTTATTAGAGACGAATTTGTGTAACCTCAGTCCACCTTTTGCACATAAATCATGTGCTTCCTTTGCCAGTTGTATAGCATCATTCACTGTTTCAACACTTGTAACTCCATCATCTACATAAAAGTCTCTTGCAATAAACTGTGAGCCTACGGGAAACTGAAGGCTGTTTGCTTTAGCTAAATGTTTAAGTCCGTAGTTTGCACAACCAGGAGACGAGACAGCGCCAAAGAGGTGTACTGTCATTCTGTGTGCTTGTGGTGGCTTGCTCATGTCACTGTCTTTCCACCATAAGAACCTTAGGTAGTTCCGATCATTTAAGTTTACTTTGAACTGGTGAAACATTTTTTTGATGTCGCACATTAGAGCTACTCGATGCTGTCGAAAGCGCACAAGTACACCAGTTAAGTTATTAATCATGTCAGGACCGTTTAATAAATGTTCATTTAGACTTGTACCTTTGTATTTAGCTGAACAATCAAAAACCACTCGCAGCTTTTCTGGTTTCTTTGGATGATATATGCCGTGGTGTGGTATGTACCATGTCCCACCTGTTGGTCCGTTATCCTCTATCTCTTCTGCATCACCCCTCTTAATAATGTCATTCATGTATGTGATGTAGTCTTCTCTGTATTTATCATCACGCATAAGTGTTCTCTTGAGATGATTGAGTCTTGTTTCGGCAAATTTTCGGTCATCTGGCATTTGTGGCCTGTCCTTAAATGGCAGTGGCATTTCAAAATGTCCACGCTTAGTCTGTATTATGCCTTGTTCAAGTTTCTCGAGGAACATGAGATCCTCTTGTGACACAGTTTTTTCATTGCTTTGAATGTCTTTGAAGTCCCTTTCTAAAATACGCAGCGCATCTGTCGGAGTAGATGGGGGTATTTCCTTTACAGTAACTCGGTGACAGAGACTACTTGCTGTGTATGATTCATTGCAAGGCACAGAATTGCCAACTATGCTCCATCCTAAATCAGTGTTAATAGCATATGGCTCATTGTCCTTGCCTAGTAGTACTTGTTTGGGCGCTAAAGCTCTGGGACAAGTATACCCAATGAGAAGACTTACTTCACAACTGAGGAGTGGTGGAACCTCATCTACAATGGGTGACAAATGACTCCACAGTTTGGCTGTTTCACATGTAGGTATGTGTTCTCTATTTGCAGGTATATAGTCTTTTGTGTAAGCAGGAGGGAGCTTTAAAACTGTTGCTGAATTGTAACCTCTCACAAGAAGATCACACACTTTTCCGCTGCTTACAATTGCATTTTTACCCATCATTGTAGTTAGTTTGAGTTTTACTGGACTCACATCTGCCTGAAGTTCTTTTGTGACATCCTGTTCAATAAAGACAGTGTCACTCTGAGTGTCTAGTAATGCATATACTAGCTTTTCCTTTTGTGGATTTGTAGCGCTTGAAATCCACACAGGAACTATCATGCTGGTGCTGACTGTTGGTTCTGCTCTTGCAACATTGAGAGACATGGCTGTGGCGGTTACAGGTAAGTTACCTTGGGTTACGTTGTTTGTACTCACTTGGTCTTGTGTTTCCCTTTCTCTTTGTAGGCTGTTGCTGTAGTTTTCATCATGAAGACATGTAGGATGTCTTTTGGAGCAGGTTTCACACGTGAATCGGCGTCTGCAATCTCTAGCACTGTGTCCCTGCTTCAAACAACCATAACAGAGTTTATTCTCTTTCACATGTTTCTTTCTGTTCTCTAGGGACATTTGCAGAAAGTTTGGACACTTATTAAGTGGATGCACCTCTGAGCATAATGTGCATGAATAGTTGTTACTTGTTTTAATCTTTAATTGTTTATCACATTGTTCATTTGTGTTTGTGTTAAATACACTTGCCTTGTTTCTTTTGATTTCCTTTACAATTCTTTTATCACTGTTTGTTTCTGTAGAGCGAAGTGCATGCATCGAGGTGACTGGGTTGCACGCAACTTCTGCTTCCAGCGATAGAAAGGAGGCAAAGTCACTGAAGCTGGGAAACTCACCACCATTCATGAGTGCCTTTGTCACATGCCTGTTCCATCTCGCATTCATCCAGTCTGGGAGTTTATACAGAAGTTTCTGATTTTCTTCACAATCATTGAGTATTTGCAGTCCCTTAACATGAGGCATAGCGAGTGTGCATGCATTAATGAAGTCTGCAAAGTTCCTTAGTCCTTCAGCATCTTTAGATTGTATTTTTGGCCAATTAGATAGCTTCTCTCTAAAGGCCCTTTGTATTACAAATGGTTGGCCATATCTTTGGGTCAATTTTTCCCAAGCATCGTTATAAGCCTCTTCATCATTTCTAAAGAAAGTCCCTTCAAGGCATTTGCGAGCTGGGCCAGTAATGTATCTTTTTAGATAATACAGTTTATCTGCTGCTGAGATGCCCTTTTGTTCTATCAATGATGTGAAAGTAGATTTCCATTCAATGAAATGCATTGGCTCACCACTAAACATTGTTGGCTCTGGTGCAGGGAGCCTGTTCAATCTTATGCTGTATTGCACGGCCTCTGCAAGCTGGCTGACACTAGAGGGAGCCGTTGGTGCAGGTATGGCTGGAAGTGATGCAGTCTGTTTGGGTGTATGCTCTGGGCTCACCTGTTCACTTTTTACTGACCTTGCATCACCAAGCTGTAGTAATTCTTTATTGTAAGCTTCCAACCTGGCACGAGCTGCTTCTACATCCTTCTCAGCTCTCAAGCGTTCTAGCTCTGATGTTTGGATTGCCATTTGTTTTTTGTGCTCTTCTTCTAACGCTTTTACCTTCTCCTTTTGCCTTTGTTCTTCTTGTACGATCTTGTACTCTGCTTCCTTTGCGGCGAGTTCTGCTGCTGCATCTGCTCGTTTTGTAGTGAGAAGCGAAGCTGAAGAAAAATGACTATGATTTGATGTTATGGTTGAGCTATATATGGACTCAGCGTACTGATGTTCTTTAAGCCCCTTTAAGCGTTTGCCTTCGCGCTCTGCATCAAAATCTCCATCTACACCGCTTATTCTTTCGAGAATGACTCTTATAATGTCATGTGTCACTGCTTCACATGCATCAGTCTTTCTTCTGATGTCTGATGATGGTGCAATGTGGTTTCTTATTTCATTGTATAGTTCTAACAGATCATCTCTCTTTTCCTCATATATATCTGCGAGATCACCCATTTCCTTCTCTGAAATATCTTTCTTAAGCATTTCTCTTGCCTCACGCACCTGCCTTTTCCACAGTTCATATAGAGTCAATAATCTTTTTTTCTCTTTTGTTAATTTCTTCCTTTTGATAAATAGCCATTTTTTCTGTTGGCACTTTAATTCTTTCAGAGCGTCTGGGTATTGCTGATGTGCTTTGCTCTGCCATTAATAGTTCTGGTCTATTCTCACTTTCATTTTGAAGTGAGGGTATTTCTTTTAACAAACTTTGGTCATTGATGTTCGTTTGATCTACAACTTGTAATTCTTCCATTTGAGCTTTGTTTTCCTTGAACCTTGAAACGTTTATATTAACTGACCAACTTCTGCCATCTGCTGGACGTAGCGGGTATAACCGTTGAAACCTCGAGCCCGGTGTTGCAGCAAACTGGCGGCGGTCAAGCTCTTACTGTAGCGTCCAGTTGAGAGTATAGTTGAAGCCAGAACTGATGGTTAAAATGAAGTTTATTTTGTCCTTCCATATATTCATATAACCAACGTAAGAGCTAGAACAGAAATGAAAATCAACTTACAATCATGTCCAAATACTATCTAGCATCAATTACATTGTAAACCGTTATATCACAATTACTATTATTTTACACAAAGAAACAATTGTTACACAAATAAAATCAATCCATACCTTGTTCCCTCTATCTCAACTGTTGCTAAACTTTGTTGTTGTTTCTTTTATACCATATTGGCTCTGTTTCCTCTTTAGACCATTGACTACTAGACCGTCTGTTTGTTTGTAACGTCCATACACTGTAACGTTTCTCCGTCTGATGTTGCGCGAGCCACTTGACTTCCGGTTGAGACAGGAAGCGTCAAAATAAAACATTTTCTATCAATAATAAAACATCAACCTTTACATAAAGTATAGAACAACTCTATACTTCTCTATATTTTTTGGTTAATAAAAAAGCAAGACCCGGTCCAGAACCAGATGTTTTTTATTGCATCGTAGGTCACAGGAGGTCACAGGAGGTCACAGGAGGTCACAGGAGGTCACAGGAAGTCACAAACTAGGAATCTCTTTGGCTCCAGGTGCAGAGAAGTCGTTAGAGTAAAAAGGTAAAGGCAGCATAAAGAGGCGTCGATAAACCAGATTATTAACGCCATAATCCAGCCTCAGGTCTACCCCAGACTTACCCCAGGTCCAGGTATCACAGGTACAGGACATCAGCTGCAGTCTTTGCCTCAGCATCAGCCCCTCCCCCTGCCCTCCTAACCTGACTGACCTGGGCTTGCTCTCCCCCCTCTCCCCCTCTCCCCCCTCTTCCCCCCTGGCTCTCCTGCAGGTCCTGGCCTCCCTGACGCCCTCCTCCGCCTCGCGCAGTAACGCCCCCCCTCCTGTGCCTCTCCCGCAGAGCTACGAACCCGACGAGCTGACGGAGGAGATGGCCCACCTGGAGGGCCTCATGAAAGACCTGAACGCAATCACCACCGCGCCCTAGGGACCCCGCCCCACCCCACCCCAACTCAGCACCCTAAGGACCCTACCCCGCCCTCGCCACAGCACCCTAAGGACCCCACCCTGCTCCACACAGCACCCTGAGGACCTCACCCGCCCTGCCACAGCACCCTAAGGACCCCACCCCGCCCTCGCCACAGCACCCTAAGGACCCCACCCCGCCCTCGCCACAGCACCCTAAGGACCCCACCCCGCCCTCGCCACAGCACCCTAAGGACCCCACCCCGCCCTCGCCACAGCACCCTAAGGACCCCACCCTGCTCCACACAGCACCCTAAGGACCTCACCCGCCCTCGCCACAGCACCCTAAGGACCCCACCCCGCCCTCGCCACAGCACCCTAAGGACCCCACCCCGCCCCGCCACAGCACCCTAAGGACCCCACCCCGCCCTCGCCACAGCACCCTAAGGACCCCACCCCGCCCTCGCCACAGCACCCTAAGGACCCCACCCTGCTCCACACAGCACAGGACACCCAGCGCACGCACCCTAAGGACCCCCCGCCCTCGCCACAGCACCCTAAGGACCCACCCCGCCCTCGCCACAGCACCCTAAGGACCCACCCCGCCCCGCCACAGCACCCTAGAACCCTCCACCCCTGCCACGCACCCTAAGGACCCCACCCCGCCCTCGCCACAGCACCTAAGGACCCACCCGCCCCGCCACAGCACCTAAGGACCCACCCCGCCCTCGCCACAGCACCCTAAGGACCCCACCCGCCCTCGCCACAGCACCCTAAGGACCCCACCCTGCTCCACACAGCACCCTGAGGACCTCACCCGCCCTCGCCACAGCACCCTAAGGACCCCACCCCGCCCTCGCCACAGCACCCTAAGGACCCCACCCCGCCCTCGCCACAGAACCCTAAGGACCCCACCCCGCCCTCGCCACAGCACCCAAAGGACCCCACCCCGCCCTCGCCACAGCACCCTAAGGACCCCACCCTGCTCCACACAGCACCCTAAGGACCTCACCCCGCCCTCGCCACAGCACCCAAAGGACCCCACCCTGCTCGCCACAGCACCCTAAGGACCCTACCCCGCCCCGCCACAGCACCCTAAGGACCCTACCCCGCCCCGCCACAACACCCTAAGGACCCTACCCAGCCCCGCCACAGCACCCTAAGGACCCCACCCTGCTCCACACAGCACCCTGAGGACCCCACCCCGCCCTCGCCACAGCACCCTAAGGACCTCACCCGCCCTCGCCACAGCACCCTAAGGACCCCACCCCGCCCTCGCCACAGCACCCTAAGGACCCCACCCCGCCCTCGCCACAGCACCCTAAGGACCCTACCCCGCCCTCGCCACAGCACCCTAAGGACCCCACCCCGCCCTCGCCACAGCACCCTAAGGACCCCACCCTGCTCCACACAGCACCCTGAGGACCTCACCCGCCCTCGCCACAGCACCCTAAGGACCCCACCCCGCCCTCGCCACAGCACCCTAAGGACCCCACCCCGCCCCGCCACAGCACCCTAAGGACCCTACCCCGCCCTCGCCACAGCACCCTAAGGACCCCACCCCGCCCTCGCCACAGCACCCTAAGGACCCCACCCTGCTCCACACAGCACCCTGAGGACCTCACCCGCCCTCGCCACAGCACCCTAAGGACCCCACCCCGCCCTCGCCACAGCACCCTAAGGACCCCACCCCGCCCTCGCCACAGAACCCTAAGGACCCCACCCCGCCCTCGCCACAGCACCCAAAGGACCCCACCCCGCCCTCGCCACAGCACCCTAAGGACCCCACCCTGCTCCACACAGCACCCTGAGGACCTCACCCCGCCCTCGCCACAGCACCCAAAGGACCCCACCCTGCTCGCCACAGCACCCTAAGGACCCTACCCCGCCCCGCCACAGCACCCTAAGGACCCTACCCCGCCCCGCCACAACACCCTAAGGACCCTACCCAGCCCCGCCACAGCACCCTAAGGACCCCACCCTGCTCCACACAGCACCCTGAGGACCTCACCCGGACCCCACCCCGCCCTCGCCACAGCACCCTAAGGACCCCACCCCGCCCTCGCCACAGCACCCAAAGGACCCCACCCCGCCCTCGCCACAGCACCCAAAGGACCCCACCCTGCTCCACACAGCACCCTAAGGACCCCACCCCGCCCTCGCCACAGCACCCAAAGGACCCCACCCTGCCACACAGCACCCTAGGACCCCACCCCGCCCTCGCCACAGCACCCTAAGGACCCCACCCCGCCCTCGCCACAGCACCCTAGGGACACAACTGATTGTTCCGGCTGTTTTACACTTTCACCAGATTAGAAACACAAGATCTGCTACTAGCTTCTCAACCTGCCCTGGTCCTGTCTCCCCTGGTCCTGTCTCCCCTGGTCCTCTCTCCCTGGTCTCTCACCTGGTCTCTCCCCTGGTCTCTCACCTGGTCTCTCCCCTGGTCCTGTCTCCCCTGGTCTCTCCCCTGGTCTCTCCCCTGGTCTCTCCCCTGGTCTCTCCCCTGGTCTCTCCCCTGGTCTCTCCCCTGGTCTCTCCCCTGGTCTCTCCCCTGGTATCTCCCCTGGTCTCTCCCCTGGTCTCTCGCCTGGTCTCTCCCCTGGTCTATACCATTCAATCCAAACGGGGGGAAAACAAAAAGATGCAACTGTGATTTCCGTGGACACAAAATGGCGTCTTGTGCCCGAGAAGCATTCACGTCCCCCAGCAACAAACTGCTTTCTTCTTCTACAAGTACCTTTTCTCAGGACGGACGCAGCCAATCAGAGGAAGGGCAGTCACGGCCAGACACCGGAGCACGCCGTCCATGTGGATGGAACTCTTTGGGACCAGATTGTGAACTTTGTTGTTTTTAGGACGGACACAGAATGACTCCTCTGCTCTGAGCGTGTTCATGGTTCTGTTCATGGTTCTGTTCATGGTTCTGTTCATGGTTCTGTTCACCTGTATGTATTCTGTATTCTTTTATTTTTTACACCTGTATCCGTATCTACATGTACATATGTTATTTTTATTCTGTCGTTTGATGGTTCAGAAGTTTACTCAAATTGTAACACAAAAATGCTGGTGCGAGGCCACGCGGAAAAGTCACTGATGTCATATGTTCATAACCCTTTAGCATTAGGCAAGGTTATTGGTATAGCACAGTCCACACACGGCAACTCACAAGACAAGGCTTTAAATCAGAAAGTCAGGATTAAATCTGTTTTTAACCTGGATTTGAATATTGCCCGTCTCACGTTTTCTGGAAGACTGTTTTTAGCTGCATAAATCTGAAACACTGCCTCCCCATGTTTAGTCCTGACTCTGGGACCAGCAGGAGACCAGTCCCTGTGCTCCTCAGAGTCCCAGCAGGAGGCCAGTCCCTGTGCTCCTCAGAGTCCCAGCAGGAGGCCAGTCCCTGTGCTCCTCAGAGTCCCAGCAGGAGGCCAGTCCCTGTGCTCCTCAGAGTCCCAGCAGGAGACCAGTCCCTGTGCTCCTCAGAGTCCCAGCAGGAGGCCAGTCCCTGTGCTCCTCAGAGTCCCAGCAGGAGACCAGTCCCTGTGCTCCTCAGAGTCCCAGCAGGAGGCCAGTCCCTGTGCTCCTCAGAGTCCCAGCAGGAGGCCAGTCCCTGTGCTCCTCAGAGTCTTAGCAGGAGGCCAGTCCCTGTGCTCCTCAGAGTCCCAGCAGGAGGCCAGTCCCTGTGCTCCTCAGAGTCCCAGCAGGAGACCAGTCCCTGTGCTCCTCAGTCTTAGCAGGAGGCCAGTCCCTGTGCTCCTCAGAGTCACAGCAGGAGGCCAGTCCCTGTGCTCCTCAGAGTCACAGCAGGAGGCCAGTCCCTGTGCTCCTCAGAGTCACAGCAGGAGGCCAGTCCCTGTGCTCCTCAGAGTTCCACTTGGTTCTTATAGCACTAACATTTGGTGCAAGACTTAAAGCTGTGGTCTCTATTTTCAAAGCTCATGTAAAAATCTAATTCTTATTTCTGTCTGAGCCCAAAGGGTCAAATAGTGACTCACAGGGACTGTTGGATCACGTCAGCACAATGACCTGGGGAGATGACGTCGGATTTATCCACAATAAACACATTTCTCACACTTTTTCTATCGCGACAAACGACATTTCAGTCTCGAAACAAAACTTTAGGTTCAGCAGCTTTAAGTTTCTAATAAATAATGTTTAACTGTTTTTCATCACAACAATTCTATTCTATGTTTTTAGCCTCGTCAAAGGACTTTACCAAGTTGTCGATTCGTCGACACGGATCAGAAAATCAAACAGACACAGTGGTCTCTCTCTGGTCTCTCTCTGGTCTCTCTCTGGTCTCTCTCTCTGGTCTCTCTCTGGTCTCTCTCTGGTCTCTCTCTGGTCTCTCTCTCTGGTCTCTCTCTGGTCTCACTTTGGTCTCTCTGGTCTCTCTGGTCTCTCTCTCTGGTCTCTCTCTCTGGTCTCTCTCTGGTCTCTCTCTGGTCTCTCTCTGGTCTCTCTCTGGTCTCTCTCTGGTCTCTCTCTGGTCTCTCTCTGGTCTCTCTCTGGTCTCTCTCTCTGGTCTCTCTCTCTGGTCTCTCTCTCTGGTCTCTCTCTGGTCTCTCTCTGGTCTCTCTCTGGTCTAAACAGTGAAAATAGTAATTCTCACCTAAACAACATCTTAACATCAAATATCAGATTTAGTTTCAAATGAGTTCAGTTCGAATCTCATTTAATATTTCAGTTTTTATTTTGTATAAATTGTATGAAATAATCTTTTAGCACAGGTACAAAAGCACTGAGCCGTGTTATACTTTTACTTTCACTTTCAAAGGCTCATAATCTCAGCTTTTCCCGCGTGGCCCGGTTCAAACCTCTGCATTGCTGTATATTTTTATATGCTGTTTTTTGACGACTGAATGGAAGGATCTCACCGTTTCCATGGTTACCACTTTGAATATACGTCATTTTAAAACAAAGTCTCCTCCTCCCTCTCTACGATGCAGATTAAAGGGAAATGTCTGGGAGTTTTTGATATATATTTTTACTCCATTTTCTGGCTGATAACCAGGAAAGCCTTGTTCTCATGTTGGGTTTGTGCGACAGGATCCTTGGGTTGTGTTCTTCTTCTAGGATTGTGTTTCTTTCTAAAGATCATTATTAACGGTTCTCTGTACGGCTGCGCTGTTACGAATGTGTCCACAAAGTCTGTATTCTCACTTGGCATAAAGTCATTTTTTTAATAATATTGGGTTGTTTTTGTGGTTTGTGCTGATTGACAAGGGGGCGGGGTCTAGCTATGATGTCACAGATCGGAGAGATTCGACTCGGAGCGTTCTGTGAGGGCCAGAGCAGAACATAGAGTGAAAAGTGATGAGAAAATAGTCTAAAAATGCTGAAATTAGGCAAAACATGTGTCTTAATTTGGGATTAGATCGATTTAAAGGCGCGTTCAGACCAAAAGCTTCAAAAAGCTTTTGACGCGCTTCAACTGACGCCGGGATAGTATTGTCATTTTGGTGCTTGAAGCTTTTGGTGCTTGAAGCTTTTGACGCGAGTGACGCGCCTGACGCCGGTGGGAGGAGCTTCTCTGTTGCCTGTGGGAGGAGCTTCTCTGTTGTCTGTGGGAGGAGCTTCTCTGTTGCCTGTAGTCAGGACAGCGGTGGATTTGTCAATGAGCAGCGAGCCTTTATTTGTTATATAAAGCAAAATAACGTTGTTGTAGGGCTTCAACAAAACATGTTCTGGGTTCACCACAGACTTGAGAGGCTTCAATGTTTGCAGAGTTCCGTCATTTACTCCAGGAGCTGCGTACGGAGGAGTTTCGCTTTCAGCGGTACTTCCGCATATCACTCGCCCAGTCTGAGTTCTCAAACCCCGGAGCTCGCCTCTCCCTGCCTCTCCCTGCCTCTCCCCGCCTCGCTCTCGCCTCCCCCTGCCTCCCCCTGCCTCTCCCTGCCTCTCCCCGGCTCTCGCTCGCCTCTCCCTGCCTCTCCCTGCCTCTCCCTGCCTCTCCCTGCCTCTCCCTGCCTCTCCCCGGCTCTCGCCCGCCCGGAGCTGCCTTGCTCTGAGCCAGACTCATCGTCAGCCTGTTCTTATTTTAAATAAACTACGTTTACTACACAGCATGTGTACAATGGTTTTTGTTACTCAGAACGTTACTACTCATACAAATAATATTACTAATAACAATAATGACGATAAAACAGCAGCAGCAGATACATGACTTCTCTTCATGACAGAGACAGACCCTCTGCTGCTGCTGCTCCTCGTCTCCTGATTGGTTGAAGCCCGCGTCAAAGCTTCAAAAGCTCAGCTTTGCTCAACTTCGGCGTCAAAGGGATTGTTGTGATACGCGAGCGTTTCGCGCGTCAAAAGCTTCAAGTGAGCGCGTAGTACGCGCGACTCTTGAAGCTTTTGACGCGCGTCAAGTGACGCCGGGGCTCTCGGCTTCACCTGACGCGCTTCACCAGGCCCGTCCTAAGGGCTGTGCGACCTGTGCCATCGCACAGGGCCTCGCACCACACAGGGGCCTCGCAATCTTCCTTCCTTTTATTTTATTTTATAAATACACTAGTTCAAGGGTCCCCAAAGGGCAGACTGCACTCCAAATTTGGAACCCTAAACCCCTTTCTCTGGACCTCTTTGATTTCGTTTGATCAAAAGAACATTTTTACAAGTAAAGTCAAATTTTCACCAAAAGCGATTTGTAAACAGGCAGGCGCGCGGGCAGCTATGTATGCAACGGGTCCTCCGAAAAAACTGTCAGATAACTTTAGCAGTGTCTGAGTGAGATACAAAGAAAGTAACGGGAATGATCGCAGTGTAGGAGAGATGGATACTCGCGGAGGAGGAGCAGTGAGACAGGTGTGAGCAGAGGAGCAGACCCCTTTGTGTGAGCAGAGGAGGAGGAGGAGGATCAGCGGTGTGACAGGTGTGTGAGCGCTGCTATTGCCAATGTTTAGTCCGAATATCCACATCAAAAACATATTTTTAAAAGCATTAGCAAACACACTGTATGTCTAGCTTTAGCTAGCTGGAGTGTTTTTGTTGTGGTCAGAGTGTGTGGAGGAGGAGGTGAAGAGTATTTTGTTGTTGTCAGCGTGGAGGAGGAGGAGTGTATGTTGTCAGAGTGTGTGGAGGCATGGCAAAAACGTTATTTGATGAGAAAAAAATAATATTGACTCCGCCTCATAGCCATTTTGGCGCATTTTGCCAAAATCTAACTATTAGAAGAAAAAGACTCCTTTTGGTTCAATCTTTTGAGTTGCTCTACCATTTTGCCACAGGACGAAAGAGACATGTCAGCTAAAAAGACCGCGACCAATATTGCACGTAGAGTGTGTGTGCGTGTGTACGTGCGCGCGCCAAACGCTGCATAGGAGCGAAGACACTCGGTTACGCGCGTGCTGATCTCGTCAAGCACCGCGCGAGGTGGTGCTGAATTCATGTCAAAGATTATAACAGGAAAAACTTTCCTCAGATCTGGGAAAAAAGTGTCAGGGCAGGGCCTCGCGTTTCGAGTTCGCACAGGGCCTCGCACCCTCCTTGGGACGGGCCTGCGCTTCACCATTCACTTTCAATGCAAACCTGACGCTTTTGACGCCGAAGTTAAGTCCGGTGTGAACGCCCCTTAAGAGTTTTAAGACTTCTCGTCTGTCTGCGATATTTGTGTTTCTGAGTGTGCACAAATGGATGTTTATGTCTGCTTTCAGTTGCATCCGACTATTGTCAGTGATGGGAATCATGCTCCAGTGCTGAAGCAGGGGAACACGCTCACGTGTGTAACCTGTTTTAAACATGGCGGAGAAGCACAAATGCTCACACACGTGCAAACCCATGAAAGGGCATCTGTTTGTCATGGA